TGGGAGAGACAATAGCGGCACGGGTAGCGAGAAGATGTCCGCAAAGTAGAGTGCTGTCTCCACTCCTGTGGACCTTGTAGTGGACGGGCTGCTTAGGGCTCTCAAAGATAAGGGACATAGAACCCTGGTATATGCCGATGATCTAGTGATCATGGCACAGGGAAAATACAACACTATAGTAATAAATGGAATGTAAGAGGCTCTAAATATAGTAACAAAATGGACAGAGGCGGAAAGACTAAACATTAGCCTAAACAAATCTGACATAATTGTATTCACCCGCAGGAGGCAATTGGAGGGACTAGGGCCTCTAAACCTAAGAGGTGCAAGCATCTAGCTTAAGGGGGAGGTAAAATATCTCGGGGTTATGATTGACTCGAGACTTGCCTGGAACCAGCATCTAGAAAAAACCACAAGGAGAGCGGAAACCTTGTTAATGATAGAACAAAATGGGGGTTAAAACCAGACATGGTATATTGGCTTTATAACATGGTGGTGAGACCGATAATAACATACGCAGCTTTGGTGTGGTGGTCAAAAACACAGCAAAGGAAAGCAATAACGAGGCTGAGCAAGGTACAAAGACTTGCCTGACTCGGAATAACGGGGGCAATGAAAACAACCCCCACTGCTGCAATGGAAGCACTAATAGGACCCTCACCTCTTCACTATATGATACAAGGGGAGGCAAGATTAGCTGCTTACAGATTTGGGAATACAATGGGAAATCTTGACATTAGACCAGGTCACTTGAGTATCTCAAGGTTAGTGACGTGCTAGACATGAGATCAGACCACATAACCAAGAGGTACTCTTTTAATACTCCATTTGAGGTTTTAATACAGGAAAGAGCGGAGATCACCATAAGGGAGCCCAATGCCCAACGACAGGAACAAACCTGGTATACAGACGGGTCTAAGACTGCGGAAGGCACTGGGGCGGGAGTATTCTCCAAAAACCCTGATACTAATAATAGATATGCTATAGGAAAACATTCTTCGGTATTTCAGGCCGAGGTATACGCAATTTTGCAATGTGCAAAAACGAACAATGAAAGAGTTGTCGAAAATCAGCATATTCAAATAATGTCAGACAGCCAAGCGGCACTTAAGGCCATATCGAGTCCGAAAGTTACGTCGAGGCTTGTATAGGAATGCATTGAAGAACTAAAAACATTGGCAAAACGAAATAGAGTAAAACTATTTTGGGTGCCAGGTCACCAAGGGATCGAAGGCAACGAAAAGGCTGACGAGGAACCAGTTGAAAGTGACAACAGTGTTCATGACTAGGCATGCCCCAGTAAAGGGACACTTGAACAAAATTGGCATGTACAATGGGGAATTCATGTACCGACTATGTCACAAGAAACCAGAAACGGCTAAACACATACTGTGCGAATGCGAAGCTCTAGATCGCAAAAGAGAGGCTCTTTTTGGACAACCCTAGGTTGATCCAACAACGAATAGAACCCACTCACCCAAGGATCTGTATAAACTTGTACAAGGTACAAAGGTGACAAAGTGGGTGCTATAAACTAACATGGGGTAAAACACAATAAGCCAATAGGCTTCAGTGTTATTCGGAGACATAGTCAGACGAGCCCAGGGAAAAAAACCTCTAGTGTGTTTATGTCTAGTAATGTATGGTCTATGTTCAATGACAATTGACCGTTGAATGACATTTCAAATTGTATGATGATCTTTTTTTCATATTTTGTACTGATTACTGTTTCTAATAAAGCGTTTTTTGATACTTTTCAATTTACAACTGGAAAGGAGGAACGAGAACATCAAATATTGAGAGACTTTGACGGTTGTATTTTTTTTCTCGGTATTTCAGCTTCCTATTGTTCAGTGGAAATACATACTTTGACCAAAAAAGAATCACCTTGTAAGTGATAATATTTTGATTATAGTAGTTAAGTATGTATTTTTACTACACAGAATGAGCGAATAACTTCCAAAAATATTTAAGGATAGGTGTCGGTGTAACTTTTTTCACCCTGTATCTCAAAATTTAGTCATAGGATAATATTGGGCCCATGGACATCGAGTAATTTAACACATGCATAAGAAAAGTGCGTGGTCCTTTCCATCATATAACCGAATTTCGGTTTTTGTTCAAGGACTCGCTCATCCTGGCAAAGTATGATATACAAATATAGACCCTAGACTTCAAAATTAATAAATTATTTGTAATTTTCCAGAAATCAACACACTCGAAAACTTCTTCTACATGCCAGTTCCCTTTTCGGTGCCATAAATAACTTACAACTATAAGCAAAATTGAAATGTTTACGTAGTAGGGAAAACGGAATGGTTAAAGTACTTTGGTTTTTGCGACAGTTTAGTTCCATATTTATAAACCGAACTCAAGTGAATCTGATACTGAAGATCAGTTCGTCAAACGAAAATCGAGGTGCAGTTATAACTGTACTGGAATTTAAAGATGGACAAAAGCACATTTGTTACTACCCATCTCTGAATTTCCATGATATAATCGCAATTTGGTTTTCGTTCAGAGAGTTCATCCTTGAACGAAAATCGAGGTGCAGTTATAACTGTACTGGAATGTCGTATGTCCAAAAATATTCAAATTTAAGACTGTAAAGGTAGTAAGTCCCATAAAATTGCCGTTAACTTTAGTTTCTAGAAAATAATACATATATAGTTCCTATTACAAACTATTTTTTAATACCTACGAAGTCTTTTCACTTAACCCTTTGTGTACTGGTGGGCAAAGCCTTGAGACACATTTCAAATAATTTTTATACTGTAGCTTAGTGTCCTCAGAGCTTAGACGCAGTTGGTAGGCGGACTCTCGAGATCCCCTTTCAACGACTTCTACTTCAAATTATATCTGGGTCGACATTTGCGGTATTTTGTAGTGACACGTTTATGGTACGTGGTTGATGGTGGTGTAATATTGAATAGTTTTTTGGTGTTTTCTAATGAAATGGCAGGTGAGATTTTATATAGACATGTTATATTTGATTGTATTTGTATGATAAATGTTTATTGATGAATTTAGTGAATTTTACACCTTGTAAATGTGGTGGCCGCTCTGCTGGGGCACAAGGAAAATGTATGTTTCTTTTTTCACAGGCAAAAAGATTTATTCAATTGCTGATTTGGAACGTATGACACAAGAAGAAATATTTACTATTATTGAAGGCATTCCATCTGATGTGGACTCAGATATTGATGACTGTTCTGATGGCGATGACGAGACAGATTTTTCAACAACAAATCTGGATCAACGTGTTTTTGATATAGTCTCTGCCAGTTTTCTTTGAAGAGAATGTTTTAGAGGAAAACCAAATTAAGGACGTGTCAGAGGTAAAACAAATTGAATCAGACGAAAGTGACGATGACATTCCGTTGGATATACGTAAAAGAAAATATTTTCTTTCAAATACAATTTGGACTAGAGACCCCCAAAACTGCATTCCGTATAAAAAAAGTTTTAATGAACCATTCGGTCCAAATATACCAGACAATATAGATACACCGACAGAAGTGTTTCTTCAACTCTTTACAAAAGAACTTATTGATTATATTGTCTTCCAAACCAATTTATATGCTGTTCAAAATAGCGGTGGTGACGAAAATCGGTTTACACAAACCAATACAGAGGAAATGCAGGTATTTTTAGCAATAAACTTACTAATGGGAATAAAGCGTCTTCCCAGCCTGAGAGACTACTGGTCTTCCCGGGCAGATCTTCGAGATGCCTATATTAGTTCTTGTATGCCAAGAGATCGGTTTGTGTGGCTGCTAAAAAACTTACATTTGAACGATAATTCTCTACAACCTAAACGAAATGAAGCAAACTATGACAAACTATATAAACTTAGGCCCTTATTAAACCATCTGTCAAACGTTTTTGCTTGTTATAATCCCTCAGAAAACCAAGCAATCGATGAGTCGATGATAAAGTTCAAAGGGCGTAGTTCTTTGCGACAATATTTACCAATGAAGCCTATAAAAAGAGGCTATAAGGTCTGGATCAGAGCAGACGAATCTGGATTTGTATGCCAGTTTGATATATATATATACAGGAAAAGTTGCTGATACGACGGAAAAAAATTTGGGATCCCGAGTTGTAAAAGATCTTACTCGTAAATTGGTTGGAAAAGGCCATAAACTTTATTTCGATAATTTCTTTAATTCTGTGGAACTAACGAAAAGCCTACGTGAGGAGAGGGGAGTCGGATTGGCGAGTTAGCAAAGACGGTACTGTGTTTATGAAATGGAAAGATAGAAAGGGCGTCTTGTTCCTAAGTAATCATCATAACCCCAAACATATTGCGACAGTTTCTAGAAAGCAAAAAGATGGTACTATAAAAGAAATTGATTGTCCAACACTAGTCAAGGACTACAATGCAAACATGGGATTTGTTGACAAAATGGATATGCTAAAGTCAATTTATGAAGTTGACAGAAAATCTAAGAAATGGTGGCACCGGATCTTTTGGTATTTTTTGGATGTGTCGCTAGTGAACGCCTTTATTATTTTCAAAAGTAGATCCGATGTAAAATCACTAACACTGAAGATGTTTAGGTTGGCAGTCATAAACGGACTCATTGGCGCTGATTCTGACGTACCTAGAAGAGGACGTAAAAGAACTAATGGTTCTGAAGTAAACCACTTCAAGCGCGCGGTGCCGTTAGAAGTCCGATTTGATAAATGTGCACATATGCCAATTCATATGAAACCAAGAAGATGTGCCTTTTGCAGTAGCCGAAAAGAACCTCACAAGTCTTCCTGGAGCTGTTCTACATGCAATGTAGGTCTATGCCTTAATGATAAAAAAAATTGTTTCTCTTTGTATCATTCAAAATAAAGTATTACTTTTGAAAATATTTTATTATCACAGGTGCCTAGTGTCCCAATAACTAAGACACGGTTTATGGCTTTTGATAACTCATAAAAAACTTATAAAATTACTATTATAAATTAGTCTTTTATATAAAAAAACCGAAAAACTGATAAAAAGTAAAAAAAAATAATTCCGGCGTCAAAGGGTTAAATTATTATGACGCAACAAATAAAACGGTTTTTTCAGTTCCCTATAAAATTTATATTTTGGGACTTATGACATTCGCATGTTTTTGGTTTTCGTTCAAGGACGAACTCACTTAAATTCGGTTCATGAACTTTAGTTCAAGAAAAAACTTGAAAATAGTTTCCTATTACTTCGACAAAATACCCCTTTTATATCAAGTATTCGAAGTACTTATTTATATAAAGAGATCTAATCCAGGAACGCCTTCCAATCGAACCGCTGGTTATTTGAATGAGTCATGGGTAAGGTAGGCGGTTCGACGATCTCCCAATCGCCGTTTTTGTTGGTCATTTCTAATAGTCCGCAATACGGGACCTTTTGGATAAGTTTGATCAAATCGTTGGGATCTTTTAATTTGTTACCGACTAGTTTGTGAGAAGATGTGTCCAAAGTTGCCGAATGTCCAACTATGAGGATGTTGCCTGATTGGTGGGCGGAAAGGGCACCTGGAAATAAAGACATTTAATTAATTAAAATATGGTGTTCAATGAAAAATTAAGAATCAATCCAGAGAATGAATCAATGAAATGATGTACAAAAAAAAATTTTAAGTAGACATTGGTTAAATTCAGAGTTAGTTTGGATTTAATTCTGACTCGATCTCTGTCTTTGACGGTAATAGCTTACTATAGAACATTTTTTGTGGATCATTATTTACATCTACTAAATTTCACGTCATTTGCTGATTAGCTCTGTTGGTTAAACAATTTATTGCTTGCTTTTCTATAAGTAAGGTAGAAAATTAACGAAAATCTTAATAGATGAAAGGAAATTTAGTAAATGTTTTGGTTGTAACTCTCAAGGATCCCATGTTTTTCTTTACTATCGACACCTGAGTATATGTAGTTCGCCCATAAAGTAACACAAAAGTGCAATTTTAGCCAAATTTTTATTTATTTTATATTTAAAAGAAAAACAACATTTTCTGGTCATTTTGAGCATTAAATTGATCCACATGCCTATGGAGTCGATGGGTAACAGACACAAAATTGTGGAACAGCAGTCTATTGATGCTAGAAAATATGCTGGCAAGTCTGCTGAAGACAGAAAAGAAGAGAGATGAGTCAGCAGCAAGAAGCCCCATCAAGAAGATCTGCACCAAGGACAACAAGAACAAGAAGCAACGTAGCGAGAATAAAAAAATTAGAAACACAAGTGGAAGCAGATAAGGAATTAGCAAAATTACTTGAGACAGAAGAAGAATTGTTGCTAAGAGGAATTGCTGCTAAGAAAAATGGACCACGAAAAAAAAATATTTCAAAATAGATTAGATTTAGACCAGGCTAAGCTTGAGAATGCATCTATAGAGGATCTAGAGATAAGGATAAACAATTTAATTGATACGAGCGGAACTGAAAACTTGGGACTAAAGGTACGATATTGGTTATACAATACAAAATATTTTGCTCCTACAAATTTTGAAAACATATTTGGTGTCTGAAGTATCCCTTGTTATTGTTAAGTGTTGCACGGCAATGCGCGAATATAGTTATAAAATAATAGTAGTCGAATGTCAATGTTAAAAAGTTATCAAATATATTTTTAATTTCTAATGGTCTCTCAATCTCTTTTACAATTTATCCTAACAGATTGGCGACGTAGGTAACTCACTGCTTAGTTATAGATAAAATCAACCTTCCATCAAAAAAAAAAGAGCAAATGAACGTAACTCATTAAACTTCTAAAACATATTCAAACCATGAATTCAGAGCAGTTTAAACAATTTTTGGCAGCAATGCAGGCAAATCAAGAGGCTCTTATCGAACAGCTTCGACAACCTTCATCAGTAGGTCCAGTCTTCACTGCATTTATCTGTCCGTTTGAAAATTTCAACCCCCAAAATGAGGACTTTCGTATATACAGGGAACGTTTTGAAAACTATTTAATAATGAAAAATTTATTCAATACCAACCGAATTACTATTAAATTCTATTGGGTCGCTCACATTTTTCACATTATTTAGTAATACAGTAATTAGTCTACATTTTTTCATGATATAATAGTACAAACTGTTAGGCGAGGAGCACGAAAACAAACTAAAAACCTAGGTGAAGTGCCTGTGTTGTCTTTTTGTTTATTTCCGGACCTCTTCTCAATTATGTATTAATTTATTAACCATTTATATTGGCAAAAATTCTATCTAGTATGAAAGATACATATTTTTTTAGCAAGAAATATGATAAAAATAAGAAAAAATAAATTAAATAATAATTATATACAAAAATAGACAATGTGTCGACGAGATCAGCAAAAGAAAAGTAAATTTTGTTAAATAAACAAACAAGTACAGTCCGTAGTAAGTTATGTTTATGCGTATAAAACTATTTGCACATGCCTATACGTACTTTAATTACGAAACACTTATGAAGCTTGAAACCCATTTATGTACAAAAAGAGTTCTGGTGTCTCAGCATACATTTTTATCCACCTTTCAACAGGAATACCAATCAATTGCAGACTACGTTTGTATACTAAAACGTATAACCCTCGATTGCGAATTTATTTCATCATGTGAGTGTAAATCTTTCGAGAAAAAGGTTTAGCACTAGAATCTTTTAAGTTAGACAGCTGTACCTCATCAAACATTAACAAAATCAACCATTCATCAACAAAAAGATCAATATCTAGGTCAAAGTCTCATGGCAGGAAACGTTCCAAATCAAAAATCAACTATCAAGAATTAGGTATCGAAAAGCACTGTATACGTTGTGGCAAAAATTACAAAACTGACCCTATAAAACTTTACTGTTTTGCTTTTGGGACAACAGGACACAACTGTGTAATATATCAGTCACAGAAATCTCCAGCTATGACTTAACGTATGATAACCTTAGAATAGCTACAGATAAAGATTTAGTCTTATCCAAAATCAAATCTGATTTGAAATCACAAAATCAAGTGAAAAACAAATCCACCTTGGATAACGACATACTGTTTGAAGAGTTCTAATTCCAACATCGCTTCAACCATTGGTTCTTTCAGAACTTCACAATACTCACATAGGCATTACAAAAATGATACGGCTGCCAAGAAGATATTGTTACTGGAAGAACATCGATAGGAACATTGAAAATATAGTTAAGTCCTGAGCTGAAGTTCAAAAATCTCCATCAAAAGCTACTCTTCATCATTGGGATCTTCCAGAAGAAAATTGAGATCGAATTCATATCGATTACGCAGGGCCATTTCAAGGTTTCCATTTTCTAATTGTTGTCGATGCCAAATCTCGATGGGCCGAAATTAAAATCCTTCGTGATGCTCCAACAACAGGAAAAACTATCGATCTACTCAAAGATATCTTCTCATCCCACGGATATCCTAGAGTTATGGTTTCGGACAACGCTAAAATTTTTGTAAATGAGCAGTTCAAGACATTTTATTGCACCAGGTGATCCTGCAACCAATGGCTTAGCCGAGCGTAATGTCCAGACTCTTAAAGGTACACTTAAAGCCATGGCCCAGGATAATATGTCCATGAATAGGAAAATTCAAGAAATTCTTCTTAAATATCGTACCACTCCTCTAACTTGTGGGAAGTCACCAGCAGAAATGTATTTAAGAAGACCTATAAGAATCAAACTTGACGCCTTGCGGCCAACTCAACACAAGAACTCAGGAAACCAATTACCTGGAGTACGTAATTTAAGTGTGGGAGTTAAGAGTCAGATTTTATAGTGGAAACAAAATTCTGTGGAAATTTGGAACTATAACAAAAAAGTTTGGTTTGCTACACTACCAGGTAGAGCTAGATGATGGATATTCCTTTAAAAGGCATCGAACTACGATGGTACCCAAAAAGACAGTCACCTTTTCAAGTGAAACACCTCAGGTTTATGGAAATGAGTCACCCCAATACCATGACCAAGTTCAGCAGATTTTGCATACGGCAACCCATATGAAGAACACCGAGCTGACAATGTCGAATCGAAATCGTTTGATGAGCAAAGCGCGGAAATCCATCAGCGACCTGAACTCAGACGATCAAAGAGAATCCGTCGCGCAACTCAACGTTTTTAAATTACTTAGTTAATCATTTTTTAGGTTAGAAGTTAGAATTAAATTAGTGTGGGAGACTGAAGTATCCCTTGTTATTGTTAAGTGTTGCACAGCAATGCGCGAATATAGTTATAAAATAATAGTAGTCGAATGTCAATGTTAAAAAGTTATCACATATATTTTGAATTTCTAATGGTCTCTCAATCTCCTTTGCAATTTATCCTAAGGACTCCTTAGGATAAATTGTAACTCCTTAGTAAGGAGTTACAACAGTGTCGATTCTAAAGTAACTGAAGTTCTGGGTCGCGAAAAAGATGAAAAGGTATCAACATTTTATGTTGTCAGTGTCAATCGAAAAGATTTTATGAAATTTATTATGTAAACTATAAAATATGATTTGCCAGAGTTCAGCGGTGAAGTAAAGGAATGGCCGAACAATCCTGTTCTGGCTGTCGAATTTTTAAAAAAATTGTTTAATTAAAAGTTGTTTGTGATGTCATTCTCTATAATTCTTGCCCTATACATAATCTATAAAAAAACTTACTCCTTGTAACAAGAGCGCTCCTCAAAAAAAACTGTTCGCAGCTCTCCTTCCCCTGTCTCAGATCTTTCTCATCGACGAACGGCTGATAACTTTCGTCCACGTTATAACCGCTGCTTTTCAGTTCGTCCATAGTCATCCATTCGGGCACCCCGTCCGCGTACCATACGTTCCATTCGAACAAACCTGGTTCCACTTTGATTTTTATTTTATCCTTCATTCCCATACCGTTGAGAAAGGCGTCGCAAGTTTGGACGCAACGGTACGAAGGCGAACAGTAGGCGTGTTCCACTTCTATGTTTTTCTCTTTAAACGATTCGCCGACCTGAAAATTATTAAAATATATATGGATTTTGTTATACAGGGTTGGGATAAAGTATGGAACCAAGTAAATAGCTTTAAAACGAAAAGGACATTTATGAAACTTTGCAGGCAAGTACAATGACGCATAACGCATCTGATGCCATATTTTTTGTTACTACTGTACTCCCGGTTTAACCGGAAATACCCTCAACTTTTTTAATTTAAAGAGGACACCCTGTATATTTTTGCAGATTTTAAATGATCTTGTTATTCCGAATTCGTACATACTAAGTTTAGTGGAAATTATTTGTTAAAGTAATCCCCTTTAAATTAAAAAATTTGAGGGTCTTTCCGGTGAAAAATATATATACAGTAGTAACAAAAAATATTGCATCATTGTACTTGCCCGTAAAGTTTTATAAATGTCGTCCTTTTCGTTTTAAAGATATTTACTTGGTTCCATACTTTATCCCAACCCTGTATATGGGCTTTGCGGCCCGACGCCGACCCTGTTCAATATTTCTTGGTGTGGGTTTTTATATGGATTTCGCGATAAAATTATATTGGCGAAGTACATAGGTATGCTGAAGAAGGCAGTTTGAATTCGGTGGTTAAAGAATAAATATTAGAATTATTACAGAAAGTATTTTATTCATTAACTACCATAAGAACAGATATTTTAAAAAAATTTCGTAGAATCTCTGTTTTTAATGAATAGAGCTGCAACATAATAAAAAATCTCAGGTAACACCAACATCCATAAGACTTTAAAACCATATTAAATATTAAGGAGAAAAAAAATCGCAAGACTTACTAATGTAGCTTGAAATACTCCCAACATAGTTAGAGGAGAATCCCTTAAATATGCTTCAGCTGCGTCATTTCTATGAGGTAAGGATTTTGGCATGTTCAGATCTTTTCTCTCAAATTTTCCTGATTCATTAAAGCAATAAGGCACCCAGCTGCCGAAAGTAAAATCGATTCTTTCACCATGTCTCATCACAAAAATTCTACGCGTTTGAGATTCATCAGGATTCTGTTGAAAAAATATATAAAAAAATGTATAAAATATTACGTAGACAGTTAGTTGGTGGCATAGGAAAGCTTTTTATTACTAATTTTAGGGGAAAAAAGTTGTTTATAAAAAGTCAAGCATGGTCTAAAACCTAAAAGAATAAAGTAAAACTTTTTGACAAATCTCGTATACCGCTGAAAAAATTAGATATTTGATGACTGTATTCTAGGTTTTAGATAACGCAGCACTTTTTATGAAAAATAACTTTTTTTCCTAAAATTAATAATAGAAAAGTTTTCCATATGATTCCAACTTAGGGGGACAAACTGTATAAAAATATATAAAAATATATAAAAATATATAAAAATATATAAAAATATATAAAAATATATAAAAATATATAAAAATATATAAAAATATATAAAAATATATAAAAATATATAACTTTAATCACATTAAAATTATATAAAAAGTAGTGATAAGAAGGAAAAAGGTTTTTTCACAAAAAGTTCGTATCAGTAAATGTAAAAAAAATGTAATTCTCAAACGGTTTTTTAATTATTATACCTTGTCAGCTGCAGTTTTCCTTTTCAATTCTTGCAAATTTTGATATAAAATTCCATCGTCCAGTTCAACATTTTCGTTAATTTGGGGTGGCACCTGGGGCAAAATCACGTCCAAATTTAAGGCAGATGGTTCTTTTAATTCACTTTCTGGTTGCGGCGGCATTTTTTTGTCGTCAGTAGGGGTTGACTTATTTAGAAAAATCTAAAACAGTTTTTTCTTCGTAAATTTACCATTTTTTACTTTCCTATCTGTATACAGATATAAGGAAAGTATAGGAATCATGATTTTTTTCGACCTCGAGTTTTCGACGGATTTTTACGTTTTGAGGTCCCCTGAATCCGTTTTGACTATTTTCGCGATGATGTCTGTGTGTGTGTCTGTGTGTCGCATAACTCATGAACCGATACACAGAAAAACACCAAATTTTAAACTTAAGCTTTATTCCATCGTCCAATGAACTGATTAGTTTTTGGGCAAAGTCGGAACATCTGGGGGGTACTTTATAGGGGGTCATTTTTATATTTTATGGAATATATCTGTTATTTACGTTTGGAGAAGAAAATTCTTCAAATAAAAGTTACTTCTAATATTATTATCTATAATTTTTGTTCTATACAAAATTTTCCTAAAATGGTCCGTATTCGAGAAATTTTACAAAATGAAAAAAAAAATATATATTTTTTTTATAAAAATTGTTCAAATAAAAGTTGTTTGTAATATAATTCTCTATAATTTTTATTCTATACATAATTTCTCTAAAATGGACCGTATTCGAGATATTTGAGAAAATGTGTAAATTTTGAACTTTGAAGGAAACTCAAAAACGGATAAAGAAAAAAACATTACATTTTAAATTTAAGTTTTATTTCGGCCTGACGTGAAATGATTAGATTTTGGACAAAGTCGGAACATCTGGGGGGGGGTACTTTATGGGAGGCCGTTTTTATATTTTATGGAATATATCTGTTATTTATGTTTGGAGAAGAAAATTGTTCAAATAAAAGTTACTTCTAATATTATTATCTATAATTTTTGTTTTATATAAAAATTTCCTGAAATGGTCCGTATTCGAGAAATTTGACAAAATGTGCAAAATTCTGATTTTTATGAAAATTGTTGAACTAAAAGTTGTTTGCGATATTGATCCCTATAATTTTTGTTTATATATGATTTTTCTAAAATGGACCGTAATGGAAAAATTGGAGGAAGAGTGCTAAATTTAAATTCTTCAGTATTTTTTTTAAATAATATATATTTTGTGACACTAAATATGTCACCATTCAACCCTAGAATTCTAAGAATAACGCTGATACCTTAGAAACTCAGTTATGTGCCGTATCGGATTACAACACTTGTTCGGTTGTTTTATGATAATGTAAAACCAGATTATTGTTAGCTTTTATGCGATTAACATCGTAGAAATATTTTTTTTTGTAATTTAAAAGTAAAATAAATTTTTTAAAAAAGACTTTCGGTATTGTGGAGAATTATTTGGCGCAGTCAGTAGGATTCTCAGAAGTTTACGTATCGAACGTAAATTTTTCGTTTCAACGATTGACTGAATTGAACCTAGTATACAGGGTGATTTCGCGAAGTAGACGTGTTGTGTTGGCGGCTCCTTAAAAATCAGGAAACCGGCTCAATCATCGAACCAGTGCAACTCAGAACTAGACGAACACCGGAATTTGGAACAAAATCGTCCCGATTCACGAAGATCTCATCAGAGAAGACAAAATCGCAGATCTGGTGGTCCATCTTCATAGTTAAGGAATGCTGAAGGTCATTTTCATATTAATGTAAGTACAACTTATGGAAGATTTACTACAAAATTTAAATAGATTAAGTATTGATTCTCCTTTAACTGACTCTCAAGAAAACCCTAAATTAGATAGTAACGAAAATTTAGATAGTAACAAAAAATTAGATAATAACGAAAACTTAGATAGTAACGAGAATTTAAATAGTAGCGAGATGCCTCAAGAATTTAAATCAGAATATTTAAGTTGTATTCCCGAATTTGATGGGAATCCATGCGAATTAAGTCGATATTTATCTACTAGTGAATCTCTAATTGGCAATTTTTATGATTTCCAAAATCAAAACAATTTCAAAAACTTTTTCTTGTTAAATTCAATCATAGGTAAATTACGTGGAAGTGCTAAACAAGTTGCTAATATAAAAAGCGTAACTACATGGGAAGAATTAAAAGCAATTTTAACTACTAGTTTTGCCGATCAGAGAGATGAAGCCTGCCTCAACAGAGATTTAGTCATGTTAAGACAGGGTCCAAATGAAACTCCAAAACAATTTTTTGACAAATGTTTAGACATTTTGAATCTTTTATGTAGTTATGTCGAAGTACACGAGACCACGCTAGAAGCGAAAAATCTTAAACCAACATTATATCAGGAACTAGCTTTGAAAACATTTCTATCTGGGTTAAAAGAACCCTTGGGCACTACAATAAGGTGTATGAAGCCTAACTGTTTAACTGAAGCTTTACAGTATGTTATAAAAGAACAAAATAATCATTATTTTCAAAATTTCCCAAATCAAAATTTTACAAGACCACAAAATAGAATGAATCAAAGCAGACAAATACAATTTCCACAGCAAAGAAATAATTTTGTTCAAAATGTACCTTTTAATTTTCAAACTAATCAATTCAGGCAAAATTCATTTCCATCTCAACCGATAAATATTCAACCTAGAGCAAATGTTCAGCAACCAAGATATTTTACAAACGCCCAAGTTTTTAAAGAGCCAATAAATACAAATGTTTTCAAGCCGAATCCTAATAATCAAGTTTTTTCTAAACCAACGCCAATGAGTGTGTCAACTAGAAATACTGTAAACTATTCTAGACCCGGTCCATCAAATTTCAATAGGTAAAATCAAAATTTTAAACCCACTCCAATGAGTACTTCCACTCGCAATTTTAATTATAATCAGCGGCCAAATTTTGTTGCCGAAGAACTTTTTACCACAGAAATTGACCAAAATAATTTTTGTGATAATGTCAATACATATTATTATACTGATCAATTTGAGACTAATCAATATCACCCAAATGATCAGAATTGCGATGAAATTTCGAATATCGCGAACGTAAATAATGAAAATTTTCAGGTAATGCCTCAACAGTCGAAAAAAAGTTAACTCCACCAATAATTTCCATTAATACTAACAATTCTAGTGAATTGCCGTATATTATTTTTCCAGAATATGAAATCAAAATTCTCATTGATTCCGGATCTACAAAATCTTTTATAGACCCAGTGATCGCTAATAAATATTTTCCAAATTTAATTAGAGAGGACCCTTTCATAGTGTCAACGGTTTTCCAAAAATCGGCTCACAAATTTAGCGCTACCATTCCAGCCTCAAAAATATTTAAATTACCAGAAACTAAATATCTTAAATTTTATTTATTTAAATTTCATAATGTATTTAATGGACTTATTGGCTTAGATAATATTAAATATTTACAGGCAAGTTTAGATTTTAAAGACGGATATTTAGTTACTCCTTATAATAGAATTAAGTTTTTATTTTACCATACTAACAAAGAGCTCAACTTAATTGAAATCGCTCCAAGGAGCCACCAAGTTATTAAAATTAGAAGTAATATATTAGATGGAGAAATTATTATCCCCCATCAGAAAATACATAATTGTGAAATACCAGAAACTCTTACTATAGCAAAAAACGGCGAGGCAATAACCACAATTCTAAATAATAACACGGTCCCAGTAACATTAGATTTTTCGCAACCAGTAACAGTAGAAAAATTCGAAAAACAAGATTACGAAAATATTGATTTTAATTATATTAAAAATGATTCAATACAACAATTAGATTTAGGTCAAATTAGGGTAGGTCACTTAAACGAAGAAGAGAAATTAGCTATTTTAAAAATATGTCAAGAATATTCAGATGTATTCTATCAAGAAAATACGCCTTTAACATTTACCAATAGAACAAAACATAAAATTCGAACCACGGACGAAATCCCTGTTTACTCTCGTCCTTATCGGTACCCGTTTATTTATAAAGACGAGGTCCAAAAACAAATCAAAAAAATGTTAGACTCTGACATAATAAGGCCTAGTAACTCACCATGGAATTCCCCCATATGGGTGGTTCCAAAAAAACTAGATGCTTCAGGAAAACAAAAGTGGAGAGTAGTTATCGACTATAGACAACTAAACACGAAAACTATAGACGATAAGTACCCATTGCCTAATATCACGGATTTATTGGATAAATTGGGCAAGTGTCAATATTTTACAACTCTCGATTTGGCGAGCGGTTTTCACCAAATCGAGATGAATGAACAAGATATTGAAAAGACAGCTTTTTCCACAGAACAAGGCCATTGGGAATTTTGTCGCATGCCTTTTGGACTAAAAGGAGCCCCCTCCACATTCCAAAGGGTCATGGATAATATTCTCAGAGGTATACAAAACGAACAATGTTTAGTATACCTCGACGACATTATTATATATTCAACATCCCTTCAGGAACATATCGAAAGACTAAAAAATGTTTTCCAACGACTTCGAGAAGCAAATTTTAAGATACAGCTCGACAAATCCGAGTTTTTATGCAAAGAAGTCGCCTATTTAGGCCATATGAAGGCGTGAGACCAAACCCCGACAAAATAAAAGCAATAAAAATGTTTCCAGTCCCAAACACAACTAAACAAATAAAGGGATTTTTAGGACTGCTAGGTTACTATCGTAAGTTTATCAATAACTTTGCGAAAATAACCAAGCCCTTAACAAAGTGCCTAAAAAAGGGTGCTAAAATAGTGCATGATCATGAGTTTTTAACATGTTTTGAGACTTGCAAAAACCTATTAATAAATGAACCGATTCTACAATACCCCGATTTCACAAAGACATTTAATCTAACTACTGATGCCAGTAATTTCGCTATAGGAGCAGTGTTATCTCAAGGTCAGATAGGAAAAGATTTGCCTGTTGCCTACGCGTCTAGAACACTTAACGATTCCGAGCAAAATTATTCAGTAATCGAGAAAGAATTATTAGCGATAGTATGGTCTACGAAATTTTTCCGACCTTATTTGTATGGTAGGAAATTCAATATTATTACTGATCATAAACCATTAAAGTGGCTTTTCTCTCTTAAAGACGAAAACACCAAATTTACCCGGTGGAAACTAAAACTTTCTGAAT